AAGGGAAAGGGGAAAAAGGGGAAAAAAGGGAAAAGTAAAAGGGGGGGGGAAAGGGGGAAAAGAGAAAAGGGGGAAAAAAGAAAAGGGAAAAAAGGGAAAAAATAAAAGGGGGAAAAAGGGGGAAAAGAGAAAAGGGAAAAAAAGAAATGAGAAAAAAAAAAGAAATGAGAAAAAAAAAGAAATGAGAAAAAAAAAGAAAAGGGAAAAAAGGGAAAAAATAAAAGAGTAAAAGGGGAGGAAAAAAGAGAAAAGGGAAAAAAGGGAAAAATAAAAGGGGAAAAGGGGGGGGGAAAGAGAAAAGGAGAAAAAGAGAAAAGGGGAAAAGGCGAAAAAATAAAAAGGGGAAAAAAGGTGGAAAAAGAGAAAAGGGGGGAAAAAGAGGAAAGAGGGAAAAAAGAAAAGGGAAAAAAGGGAAAAATAAAAGGGGGGAAAGGGGGAAAAAGAGAAAAGGGGAAAAAAGAAAAGGGGAAAAAAGGAAAAAACGAGAATAGAGAAAAAAAGAAAAAGGATTTTAAAAAAGGAAGGAAAAGGAAATGAAGGGGGGATAAAAAGGGGAAGGAAAAGGGGAAAATGGGGAAAAAGGAAAGAGAAACAGGAAAGGATTTAAAGAGGGGGAGGAAAATGGGAGGAAAGAAAGGAAAAGGAAACGGGGAAGGAAAAAGGGAAATAAAGGAAAAGGGCCGGAAAAGGAGGGAATGAAAGGAAAGGAAATAAAGGGGGAAATAAAGGAAAGGGAACGAAAAAGGAAAAGGGAAAAAAGGGGAAAAAAAAACGGAAAAGGGGGGAAAGGGGAAAAAAAGGAAAAAAGGAAACGGAAAAAATAAAAAGGGAAATAAAGGAAAAGGAAAAATAAAACAGGAAAGGATAAAAGGAGGGGAAAGGAAAGGAAATAAAAAGGGGGGAATGAAAATAAAATAAAGGGAAGGAAAAAATAAAAAGGGGAAAATGGGAAAAAATGGGAAGGAGAAAAAAGGAAAAGGAAAAGGAAATAAAGGGGGCAAATGGGAACGGGGGGAAAAAGGGAAGGAAACGGAAAAGGAAAATGGGGCGGAAAGGGGAAATAAAGGGAAAAATCGTTTAAATGGAAATGAGGGAGGGAGGGAAATGAAGGGGAAATAAAAGGATAAAGGGGGATTAAAAGGAAAAGGGGGAAAAGGGGGAAATAAAACGGAAAATAAAAAGGGAAAACAGGAAAAGATGAAGGGAAGGAAATAAGGGGGGAAAGGAAGATAAAAGAGGATGGGAAAAGGAGAAAGGAAAGGGGAAAGAACACAAAATGGAGGGGAAAGGAATAAAAGGGAACGGGAGGAAAGGGGAAAGGAAAAGGAGAGGAGAGCGGGAAGGAGGGGAAAAGGGGGCAGAGGGGAAAAAGGGGAAAAAGGGGAAAAAAGGGGGGAAATGGGTGGGGGGGAATGGGGGCAAAAAGCAGAGAGGAGGAGGAGCTCCGCCGTTGTGTTGCGGGGCACGAACCGCACCGGGCCGCACCGCAGCCATCGGGGTGCATTGGAGCGGCGGTTCGGAGCGGTTCGGTTCGGTTCGGATCCGAAGCTCCGCTCCGTGGCCGCGGGTTTTGCGTCCCGGCGCTGCGGTGCGGGGCGGAACGGCGGAGAAACGGCGCAGAAACGGCGCAGAAACGGCGCAGAAACCCGCAGGCGCGGAGCGGAGCTTCGGATCCGAACCGAACCCGGACCGCCACGACCCGCCGCCGCTCCGCACCGCCCCGCAGGGCCGAACCCGGGATTTGGGACGGACGGTCCCGGTACGCTGCAGGTGCGGGGCCGGGCCTGCAGTGCGGGGCTGCGCGGGGCGGCGCGGCTCGGCGCCGGGACAGCGCGGCTCGGAACGGGGCCGCACGGCCCGGCTCGGCTCGGTTCGGTTCGGCACGGGGACAGCGCGGCTGGGAACGGGCAGCACGGCTCGGCACCGCTCGGCCTGGATCGCCTCGGCACGGCTCGGCGCTGAGCGGCACGGCCCGGCTCGGCCCGGCTCGGCTCGGTCCAACTCGGCTCGGCTCGGCTCGGTTCGGCACGGGGCAGCGCGGCTCGGCGCCGCTCGGCCTGGATCGGCTCAGCCTGGTTCAACCCAGCTCGGCTCGGTTCGGTACAGGGACAGCGCGGCTGGGAACGGGGCTGCACGGCTCGGCTCGGCTCGGTGCTGAACGGCTCGGCTCGGCTCGGCTCCTCTCGGCTCGGCTCGGTTCGGTTCGGCACGGGGACAGCGCGGCTCGGAACGGGGCTGCACGGCTCGGCACCGCTCGGCTTGGATCGCGTCGGCACGGCCTGGATCGGCTCGGCTCGGCTCGGCTCGGCTCGGCTCGGCTCGGCTCGGCTCGGTTCGGGCGCCGGCCAGGTGAGCGGGCTTGGGATATGGGGTTATGGGGTTACAGGGGCGGCTGTGCGGGAATGGGACGGGATGTCGGGGTTATGGGGCGGGGGTGCGGTGTGCGGGAACGGGGCGAAATGGGGGCGGCGGGAAGGGATTTGGGGCCGGGTGGGAAATGGGCAGAAATAGGAGGGAAAGGGCGTGAGAACAGCGCGACTGGGGTGGATATGGGGTGGATATGGGATGGATATGAGGTGGATATGAGGTGGATATGGGGTGGATATGAGGTGGATATGGGGAGGATATGGGGTGGATATGGGGGTGGATATGGGATGGATATGGGCTGGATATGGGATGGATATGAGGTGGATATGAGGTGGATATGAGGTGGATATGGGATGGATATGAGGTGGATATGGGGTGGATATGGGGTGGATATGGGGGTGGATATGAGGCGGATATGGGGTGGATATGGGGTGGATATGGGGGTGGATATGGGATGGATATGAGGTGGATATGACTGCGTGCAGGGAGGAGGCGGGGGGAGAGTATAGGGCCGGGGGGGGTGAATGGGGGCTGGGGGTATTTTTAGGGTCATGGGGAAATGTGTAGGGACGGGGGATGTATGGGAACAGAGGGATTTATAGGGGCAGAGGTGATGTATAGGGGCGAGGGGGAATACATAAGTACTGAGGGAACTGTATGGGCTGGGGGGGATATTTAGGGTCGTGGGGAAATGTGTAGGGATGGGGGAATGTATGGGGACGGGGGGGTGTAGGGACGGGAAGATATAAAGGGATGGGGGATGTATGGGGCACGGGG